AGGGAGGGAGGGAGGGAGGGAAGGAGGGAGGGAGGGAGGGAGGGAGGGAGGGAGGGAGGGAGGGAGGGAGGGAGGGAGGGAGGGAGAGAGAGAGAGAGAGAGAGAGAGAGAGAGAGAGAGAGAGAGAGAGAGAGAGAGAGAGAGAGAGAACGATGTAGCCGCGAATCTTACGAGGAAACGAGGAAACTGATTGTGAGTATACTTATTATAAGAGCAGCTTATTAATTCTATCAGTATTCTGACAAAATTTCTGATCTTCATAACGTAATTAATTTGATAACGTCGATATGGATTTAGCTAAAAATATAAAACATTCTTATCTCATCTTTGATAAGTTGTGTTAAATCAAGGTAAACGGAAAAATGACAAAACTTCGAAAACACAGAAAATTTTTAGATTGGATAATTAATATCCTCTGAGATAAATAAATATTCAGTAAATTATATATAAATCTTAAAATAAATAATATATTTATGCTAAAATATATAAATCAATATTCAATAAATACTAAGATAGAAAAATATAGAATTAATGAGAAGAGCTAATAAATATTAAAATATTTCAAAATATTGAATTCTTATTTAAATTTATTTTTAATTTGTAAACATTAATTAATTTACTACAATTTATTAAAAATTCTGCAAATCTGCCAAGGATGCATTCGAAAAAAAGCTATTATTCTTCAATTTTGTCAACTTTTACGAGAATTGTACAAAGATGCTTCTCGAATCGCGGAAGATTTTGCGCGATTCGACCGTTTTTGCGCATTAGCATATACAGAAAGTAAAAAAGTTGTTTTGTATCAACACAGAAGATATAATTGGTGTTTCCATTTCGCAATAAATACAGGGACACGCATGTAATTTCAAGATGACGTTCGCGTTGACAGAAAAAAGTAATCGTTTCGCAGCTGCACACGAGTTTAATAAACCAGCAGAGGGACTCGGTTTTTTGTCATTATATAAGTCATCACCAGCTGTTCGCGGAATTCGCCACCAACCAAAAAAGATTGCAGTCCACCTGAAAAGTCGGGCATAAACGTGGCGACGCGCCAGAAAAGTCGCCGCGAAAAATACATCGTGGTAACGCACTTTTTATTTCTCCCGCTTTAATCTAGCGCGTCGCGCTGCGAGAAATACGGTCATGTTCACGGCCAAATATTCGATTTAATCCCAAACGCGAATCGCGATCATGCCATAAGCTTTTAATTCAATTATATGTGTTGCTAATAACATAGGTAAAATTAATTTTATTTTAATTCTGCGATTGTGATGAAATTAAGTTTTTCAAGAGTACAGTATGTTGAGACTTCTGTGTTGGAAGAGTACGAAAATAACGAGTCTAAAAATTGGTTTTATAAACGCAATTAAAATTTTACGCGCAAGTAAAATTTCTTTGATTTAAACAAATAATTCTCGAAGACTAAACCATAGTGTACTAAATCAATTTCTAAAATTCAAAAAATATATAAGTATATTTAAACAATTGTGGAGTTAATTCGAGACCTACATTCCGATCGGTGCTATTTTCAAGAGAATTTTAAATTATACGACAAAGAATTATTTCGATATTTTACAAAATAGAACGCGACACGGGTTCATATGACTTTTTGATCGGAGGTTTTACCTTCGTGTGAAGACCCGAGAAGAAGGTACGCCGCGGCACGGAATACGACGACATGTTGATCTTATTGACGACCATTGTCATGCTAGCTGCCAGATGGATTTCCTTCTCGCGATACGTCGATTCCAAATCCGAGATCTTCTTTTATCCACTGGTTCGTCCTCCCTCGTACAGCACCGACGTGATACTTCCGCGTCGAGGCCGACACGTTTGTGTGCTCGTCTCTATCAAATGTACTTATCCGCACGCTCCGTCTCGAAGTACTGTGACGGTTTCAGAATTTTCATCGAATTGCGTTCCACTGGGGAAACCATCAGCAGATCGGCACTGGGGAAACCTGAAGAGCCAGGCTCTCGGGCAGAAACTCGCGCGCAAAGAGGTAGTAAACGACTCCCGTTATTGGAATCCGTGATGGCGCAAGAAGATTCCCTCGCGTACCTCTGCTATAACTTTTCTCCCGAGGTTCGCCACGTGAAGATTCGTGAGAACGATCAGAGCATCCAGGTTTTTTTCCGAGCTCGTTACGTGCAATAATACTGAATGGAACGCACCGTAGCTCGAAGATATCTCGAAGGGTCTCAATCGCTCTCCGTTCTGGAGATTTATATTTACTTCCAGGCGCTCAACACACCGCGCCAAATGGATCTCCTCTTCAAATGTCACTACTTGGAGATCCCATTGGAAGTTTACTTAGGCAAAGGCCTGTCAAACTGTCGTTTTCATTTCTAGCGCCATGTCGAATGGAGACACACATTAAAGAGTCTTCTTCTTCGACTACTGTCGCCCGAAGAAACGGTGAGAGTCTGATGCGTTTCAGAATCTCGTACCTACTTATCTTCGCGCGCCGCGGATCACGCTGAAATGATTTCTTCTCCGAGGATCGCACTCGACGAGGAAGAAAGCCTAAAGAGAGCTGCGTAACAGCGGAAGGCTATCGTGGTACTTTCGAGTCGGACGCGCGCGAGAACACTGAAAGAACGATCGTCGGCGGTGTTATATATAGCCTCCCTACCCCTGGCTCGCGAACCGAACGAGGTTCTCCTCAGGCCTCAGGTTCGCACCGCACCGCGGGACGTCGGAGTCCGTCGGACGGCGGGTAACGGCGGCGGCATCACCGTGACCTTCGAACCCGGAGGGATGTGTCAAAGGACACCCCGAGGAGGGATAAAGCGCCGACCATTGGAGGCTGGACAGGAAGATGACCGTGGTAGGGTGGCCAGAGGCCGGTCGCAAAAGCGCGAAACGATGACGAGGAGATCGATTCGCCACTCGTGCGACGCGACATGTCGATCCGATGTAGCGCGAGAGAGCGACCAATGTCAGCGGTGCGGAAGGTGGGGGGATGTTACCGGGTATGGGTGACGAATGTTCGTTCCTCGGTGAGCGTGTGTAGGAACGACGATCGTTGCTGAACACGCTAAACATGATGAAATAATTTGCGACAGGTAGACAGGTACTATTGTACGGCGATTATCATCGGCGCCGCCGTAACTTCGAAAATGTAGCTGTTACGGCGGAGGTGTTATTGGTGCTTTCGTGAAACCGCCGAGTACCTATAGCGACACACGATTTTAACGAGTTTACGCTCTCGTACTCTTTGAAGGTCGAAAGAGTGAAATATTCACTCAAAACGAGTGAAATGCAAGTGTAATGAAAAGCTTTAATGTTACATAATTTCAGTTATAACATCAAACCGATCTCTTTTCTCGTCTCCGCATCTAATCTAAAATTTAATTCGCTCAACTTCCTGCTTTCGCATAATTCGGCCGAAAAGTAAATTTCCTTTCGGTCACGCTTTCGTCGAACTGCACATGTGACGGAACGCAATGTGTACGTGAACACGCAACTTTTTTGCGACACTTTAAAAGCGAAACGAACGTCAAACGAGTTTTCATCGCTTTTCCTCGAATTTCTTTCTTCACGGATGTCGCGAAAGAAGGATCTCTTATAGGGATTTCCAAGGGAACAGCTGATGACGCTCGAGAAATAACAACGAGGATCCGATTAAGGAGGTCAAGGAATAACGCACGCGCGAGAAATAGCGTATTGGTCGATGTTTTTTTTACGCTAAGACAAAATTCTGGCGAAGCGCCGCGAAATTGGAGCGGAAGCGAATTCCGCCGTGGTCAGCGACACATGGTGTGACTGATGGCGAAATCCGGAGAGACAATAAATACACACGACAAATACCTATGTATGTCTCATCTCTTTCTCTTTCTCTCTCGCTCAACAAATCAAAAAATTTATGTATACATTAATTAACTTTATTTATTTATTTTTAATAACAATTGATATTTACCTGATTAACTCATTGTTTTAAGAATAAAGAAAAAAATATGTATAAGTAAAAAGATGCTATTTTGAAAAAATATATTTCAATTCTTGTTCGAAAAGGATTTTGTGTTATCTTATTTAAGTTGTCTCGTATTATCTTATTTAAAAAGCCAAATTAAGAAAAATCCTTCTCGCAGCGAATTCTGTCATCAGGAAGATCGACAGCGTAGACGGTTGGTAGGCGTCGATGAATCAGGTTCGGACGTCTCGACACCATTAATTCCGAACGACGGCAACGACGGACGGCTTCGACGGCTTACTTGCGACGAGTGCTCCGGAAAGAAAACGATAAGCAGCAAAGTGAAGAGAAAACACGACGACAGCGAGTTGTGCGTGCGATTTATTTTCGCTCCTTCGTGCATTCGAGAATACAGAATGTCCCGTGGCAAACGTTTCTCCAGATGATAGAAGCAGGGACGAGAAAAAAAAGTATAGTTTTGACGTAATTTATATGAATTTTGAAAAATCGAAGAATACGGTAATCTGATTTCTTTTGCAATTTTGTCGACGCATAGTTTCCGATGCACAAGCTATTTTAGAAACCGCGGCGCGACCTTAATTGAAATCTTCCCAACATTCGCAACGTAAAAGTAACAAAGTCCGGAATGTCAAATCACTCGTGACGATTACCGCTGTTGACACGATGTCACGAGATATTCGCCCCGTCATTCGTGGTACTTTCACCTCGTGTCGATTATTGTTGAAATTTCGAGCTCGACGCGTAGCCGGAGTCATCAGATCAATCACGATTATCCTATGAATTATTTACTCAATGACGAGTGAACAATTGCGACGATAATTTCGTCACCGAGTATAAAGGAGAAGTATCCTATTGGGAGAGCAGTCTCTTTTCAAGCGGGCCAAGGCCGTACTTTTCAAGCAATCATGATCCTTTTTTCGCCCTTTCCACAGCTATCAATTTAGGCCTGTTTCGACATTTCGTACGGTATCATGACAATGCAGTCGTCTTCTCCATTACAGTATACCGTTACAGTGTAATATAAATTATTTCTTTCTCATATAATTCGTATTTTAATCATAATTTATGTATGAAATATACATAATATTTTATATTTTCTTTTTCTCCAATAATTTTGATCTATATACATGCCAATTTCAATGTATGTATAAAAGAATATAATTATATAAAATATAAATATCTTGAATTATTTTTTATTACTACCAAGAAGGTTGAGATTAAAACTATATGATATTATATATATTAAGAACTTTTGCATTGTATTCTTATAAATAATTATATTCTTGTCACGCATTAGACCTTCGTTCCACGAGCGTTTTTTTCAGTAATAAGCATAAAATATTTAGAACGGAATGGTTAGTTTTCAAACGGAAGCCGAAGAACAGTGTGACAGAGAAAAAGAGAAAGAAAGAGAAAAGGGATAGAGAGAGAGGGAAGGGGGAGAAAGAGCGAGAGAAGCAGACGAGAGGATTCGCATATAACACTCGTGATGGATGTGAATTGCTCCCGGTGGCAGTAATTTGCGTCTTTTTTCCTGTCTTCTCCGCTGCTTCCTCCCGGCATCGCTCCTCTTCCCCTCACCTGCTCAATCCATCTGTTTGCTTATGTAATGCTTGTGCAATAATCACTGGCGTTTGAGCAATTGACTGCCCGCGGTGGTACCGTGACGGTCCCACGATGATGAATTAAAGAAAAGAAAAAAAGAGCACGGCGGGGGGAAGCACTCTGTGTTTCGTCTTTCGTCCTTTCTCGGCCAACTTGTCGAGCTTGACATTGCAACGGCAGGATTTATGCCGTTGCGTTAATCTACCACGTTTCCGCTTCGCATTTCTCATAATATCTGTGATATCTTGCGTGTAGCAATCGTGTTGGACATGTGATAAATAAAAAAAAGGGAAGATGTATCACAAATATTCTGTAAAATCATTTTAGTAATTAAAAATTAAGTTTATTAATTAAGAAATTTAATTTAATTATTTAATTACTTCAATTATAGATTGAGATTTAATTAAATTTCTTAGAAACCTTTCTCTTGCACTAAAAACGTGGCATTTTGGCGTTCAAAAGGATGATTAGGCATTACACCAATCATTAAATCTTTCGTATTAATCGCAGTCAATTGTATTAATCATTAAGTGAAAGCGTAACTAATAGAGAATCTTCATTGGTCGGGTAAATTTTTTATAGAAAATGTAATAAATATGATAATAGTGTAGTGTATTCTAATGAAATATGGGCAATAAAATGTAATAATGGAGCAAATATAATTGTACTAAATATAGATTTTAGAGCGAATGTTGAAGCACGGAATAATAATCGTGAATTCGCGATAAAATATGCGAAACGAATCAATCACGCAATCTGAACGCAACTCTACCCTATCATTTCATATAGCGATTTTATTACAAATGAAATCCGGTCAGGAGTTTATCGTTCTGTATTCTTGGAAAGAAGGCGCGTATAAGAACGCAACGAAGGTCGTAAAAGATCAACGGGAAATCTAATAACGTTCACTGTGGAAAGTAGGTGCACTCATAAGTACTTATTAGCTGAATTAATCGGAAATCGAGATTGCGAGGAAGATGACATAAAGCGATTTTTTCCAAAAGCACGTGGTGATAAACTGCAAAGAGAATTGTCCCATCGCGAAAAGAGAGAAAGAGAAATTTACTTATTATTGATGCAATTAAATTTGCAAGATTACGCGCGAACATTGCGCAAACGCATGATACTCGACATTTACGAGCGATCTAATCATAATTAATGATAGTGATATAAGAGATTCTTTTCTCTCTTTCAAACAAGGACTAGCGAAAGTGTGGCAAATGCGACTTGAACCTATCATTCTATTTCTTACTAGAAGATAATATTATTTTTAATATTATCAAGAAATACAAATATTTGAATTTATACACTGCAATGTGGATCTGAATATAGACAAGTAATTATCTAATGAATACTATTCAAATGCATTATCAATTAATAGAACATATGTGAGTGAGTGAGCTTATGTGCGTACAGTACCTGTTCGTAAGAATTCCATCAAATTAAAAATTATAATAAATTAAGATTTATATTAAAATAAAAATTAAATTTAATTAAATATTAAATTATAAATTAGAACTCAAATTAAAAAGAAATAGTAAATTAGAAATTAAATTACATTATATTTAATTAAATTACATGTTAGCTAATAATGTTAAAATATCGTAAGACTTGTGAATTATAATGTTAAAAAAATACAAACACAAGATTTTAGCATACTATAATTCTAGAGATAAAAGTTTCAATATTGCACTTTCGTTGGTTTCGCTTGCGCGTATTTTTCTTGCAAATATTTCGGCGCACTTTAATCGGTATTAAAATTGGCAACAAATTAGCTGCATTTATAACTTCCACGAGATGGCTTGGAATTTCACCAAATTTACACAAACGTGTTGTGCCAAGTACACCGAATCAAACATCGAGCGATCGTTGCCAAACACGTATAGAATGTAAGCGTATCAAACACGAGTAAATTATTTTCATTTATAAGTATTCATATTTCTTTTTACGCGAATACTGCCTAAAAAGATATTACTTCTACTAACAAGTGGATCTATTTATATAAACATGATCATTTTTAAAAGATATTGTATCTTCGGAGATAAGATTTATAGAAATAAACAGTTAAATATTTTTAAATTAATAGAAAGGATAGACTGTATTTTCTTCAAATTCCTCTGCTTCCTCTTCTTCATAGTACTCTTCCTCCTCTTCCTCTTCTTCTTCGTCTTCGTCCTCGTAAAACGCTTCTTGTTCATCCGGTGCTAGTAGTATCACATCTTCTACTCCTTCGGGGAAATATTCCGTTATCATTCCTTGAGCCTCTTCGTCAACCTCTGTCACGAAGAACGGCTCGATGCCGGCGAAAGCCAGGAAGACTTCTTCGTTGATCCTTCGAATTATGACTACGAACACCTCGACGCCCATTTTGTACTTCACCTTTCGGAAATAATTTTGATTCGCCACAAATATCTTTGCATCGTTAAATTATAACAGAAAAGTATAACAATTTATTTAATTCTCCATTGAATTTATCGAAGTTAGTTTATTCTAGAAGGGGAATTATGCATTTAATCTGATTCAATTTTATCGGATTATGATTGAAGGAAAATAGTGCACCTTCTCGAAATCCTCGGGCGAAGACGCGAGACGTCTCGCGTAAGGCGGCCGATCGAATTCGAAGGCGCCGAAATATTCGATGGCATCACGATTCAATTCGTACGCATCTCGCACGATACTGAATTTCGATGCGTCAAACTTGAAAGCGCACAACGGCGGAGGAACTGCCGGCTCCTCGTAAGGATGAGTCTTCTCCATGTAAACTGGGAAGAGAGTCTTGAAGACGTGAACTTTACTTCTAGCCTATGAAATACGCATATGAAATTCCTTACGCATATGAAATCCCGCGAATCGTGTTTGTAACAATCTCCTGCTTGCAATAAATTTTCAATAAGTAATACTTTCTTGTATATATAAACGCGATTATTAACAGTTATACTATTTGTACTCTCTAAATTTCATAGAATTGTTTCGCCACTAATATATCAGAGTGATTGCGATAATCACCCCAAAAGAGAGGATTGTTACTCTAATTTGAATAAATATCTACTCATAAGGTAGGAGTGAATTTTCCACTCAAATTTTTATAGCAACTCAAATTATTTTTAATAATTATATCCTAAAATTTTTCTTATCTTTATATTAAATTAATTTAATCCGTTTAATTAAGTTGATTAATTTTTAAAGCTTTGTTGTCCAAGTACCTGGGGAGGCACCCAAGCCGCGGGATACACGCGGCGCACATCGCCCTCAATTTCCGGATCCGGCTCGTGCACGTGCACGTGCCTCTGCATGTAAGGTGCATCGTAAATCGGTCTGATTGCAGGTACGTCAGTTTGTAAAAGAGGCGGCGGTCCTTTCGTGACGATGCTGACAAGATAATTCTCGACGTCGTCGATCGCACGGATCGGGGACATCATCGAGTCGCGGTCCGGGCCCTCGTAAGGATAATGGACCGGCCAGTCCGGATGGGGCGGTTTGCCTTTCAATCTCATCGCCATGCATTTCCCGGCGGTCAGCCCTGAAGAAGCGCGTTTTGTCACATTTTTCTCCTTCTTTCTTTTACTTTTAAAACGCTTTATAACGATACGTAGAAACGCGATTGTACATGAAAAGTGAATATCATGAATAGTAAATTATAGCGCAACATATACAATCCGTCAGTTATTATTACATCACGCAGATCTCGTAGTTATTTCTGATCCTGGTACCCGTCTACCCGGTGCCGCACCTTTTATCAATTCCTCGGTGATGTCGACGCCGCTCTCGACGAACATCTTCCCGATCATGTCCTCGTTCAGCTGGATCCGCGCTTCCTCTTGCACGTCGAAGCATTGTCTGAAGAGATCCTGTACGAGCTCCGTGTACGCCGGACTCTGCATCTTATCCCGGGGCCTTCCACGTTCGTCTTTGAAGACCCACGGATAAAGCACTAGCGCCGTCTGCTCGCACAACTCGGCCATCATTTGCGCCATGAATCGCTCATATTTCTCCCGTCTCTCGGCTTCCTTCCTCGCTCGTTTCTCCTCCTCCATCGCTCGCCTTTTCACCGAGACGATTTTCGTGAAATATATACGTGACTTTTTTTCGAGACTGCGGTTCATTAACCTCGCGACACGAGGTCGTTGCGAATAAAATCTCCGACAATAAGCCCGGATAAAAATGAGAACAGTTAAAAGAAAGATTTAGAATGCTCTACAAATGCTTATAAAACTATTATCATTGTACTATAGTCGTTGTTTCAGAAAATATCGCTGTATCTGATGTATCATTTTTCTCAATTATCAAAATATTACAAAGTTAAATCGTAGATTACTTTTAGCTCTACAAAATCGATTCTACTTCATTCACCTAATGGCTTCTTGCTTTTTCCATCGGATCTCCTCTTCGGGCGCCCGTTCATACACATCCAAACACCACTTCGGGGCTTCTAATTGTTGCACTCTCTTTATCTCATTTGTCAGCAGTTTCCGCAAGCTCGGACAGTGCGCCCCAAACATCAGATTCACCATCTTGCCGTCCTGCAGAAACATCCAGGCGGGTTCACTTCGGCCTCGGAATCTCGCCAAGTCGTCAATGTCGTCGTTTCGCACGATCGCGTAATCCACCACGTCGCCGCCTATCTCCATCTTGATCTTCCTCAGGGTGCTCACCATGGCAGCGCACGGTCCGCTCCAGTCCGAGTACACATCTACGACGATCAAGCCCGGGCGACTCAATAACTGTTGCCACTCCTCGTCGGTGCTCACCTCGATTTGTAGGGCCGCGGGTCCAGTCTTCTTCATGATATTTCGTCGCGGATCGCGATTACTGAAGAAACTTTAACCTCGTGAAAAAGGACAAGTGCTCTGGCTAATCGTGTGAAGTGTCGCACGAGAGATAAATGCGGAATGAAAAATGACACGAGAGCGTTGACAACGATTTTTGTAAGACGATTTTTTTCTGAAATGGAAGACTGGCGTGTTTTCTTTAACGCTTGTGATGATACACTGAGAGAAATCTAAATAGTTGTGGCAACTATTTTTTTGGCAACTCTGCAGTTTAACTACTTGTAACTAGTTTTCCAAAGTAATAGGAACTAAATAGTACTGAATACCATAAAAGTATAGTCACAGAAACAATATTTGTCAACTATTAGTTGAAAGTTAAATATCGCCTCAACTATAATTATTATAGTTATATAGACTCCATAAAACAAGATATGACAATAACATTTTTCAAGTTTAGACAACTCCTTGACTTATTGTTTAGACAAATATTTTTTTGTTGTGTAGCATACTTCCAGAAGCTGGTGCGGGCGGCAGCGCAGACTCGCGCGGCGAGAGAGTTCGGCTCGCGCCCGCTACGCGGTGCATCGCCAGTATACTTTTGCGTGTTTAAAATTCAACATCGATTCCTATAACTAGGGTCGCTCAGCAGGGTTTTTCCAGCGATCCTTCTAAGGTTCGCCAGTCAGGGTGTGTTTACCCACATATATATTAATCAATTTTGGATTATAAATAGATTGCATCGACGCCGCTAGGCGTCGCATCGCCCGTACATTCTCTCGAGTTCAAAATTCCGCACCGACCTGTATATAAGGAGACCCCCTACGGGACCAAAACAGATATTTTCAGGCGCTAGTCGCCTAGGTATATTAATTATAAATCTTTTAGTTTAACAAATAAGAAATTATTCTTTATTAGACAACTCTAAAAATTATGTTGATATCACTACAATGAATAATTATTCATGTTACTACAACATACCTTTTGCATACACAATATATTTTTCGTTAATGCCACTACTTTCTTGTAGTTTAAATAATTTATTTATTGTTGTTGTTACAACTATATTATACATAGTTGAGGCGCTATTTATCCACAAATTTCTAGACGGTTTAACAAAAAAAATTCTAGTTGCTGGTACAAATTTTTTCTCTGAGTGTAGGTATTTATAATTCTCCCTGTTTAACAGATTTAACAGATGGAAACTCTTATAGAAAGAAACACTACTTAGGTGTTTATTTTAACACATAAAATATCAAGAATTCGTACATTTACATATAAATTGTGTTATTGTAATTCTTAGAGACGTCGAATATTAACTTAACGCAGAAAAGTTAAAATAACACAATGACAATATGTTACATTAATACCAGTGTATGTAAAAAACTTCTACACGGATAAAAATCCATTCAAATACAAATGGTTTTCTTACTGTGTACATTAAATGTCTTCTATTATCTTGATGGATTTAAAAATGTTTAATTTTTTTTAAACACTTATCTCACATATTTTCTCTTTTTATTTGGCGCAATTCTCTAATTTTAACAGTTTTAAAAAACATTTTACATTTCTAAAATTATGAAATGTTGAACACTTATTATTCACCTAAACATTCTTCTTACGAAAATACCATTTACATTGCATTGCATAATTATTTTATATTTTTGATATATTAAAATAATTGTGTACAACAGTTTTTCGTACCGACGCGTGTACTTGGCGACTTTATTTAAAATTTTTTTAAAAAAGGTAGTTTTTTAATTATCACATATGTAGGGGAGACCGGGGCAAACTTGACACCAAACACTTTTTGCCAATTTAAATCTATCGTAGAAACTTGCTTTTCCTACTGTAAATGCGTCTTTATGTGCCAGTATTATCAACGGAATTTGGTGACATTCTGAGTTACGGTGTAATTTTTAGCGCGACATAAGCGTTTTTGATGGTGAAAAGTTTTCTGATCTCTCGAAAATTTCTATTCTTTCATCGAACTTTACTCTTGCGAATCTACCGGTAAGTGATTTTGATAGGAAATTCGAGGCTCTGTACGAATCCGATAATAGTTTTTGCATATTTTCAAAATTTTTATATTTTTGGAGTGACAAACAAAAGTGAAAAAAGACGTTCGGGGCAAATTCGACATCACGCCGTTTTATCGGCTCCCAATAACACACAATGCTTGTCATTCAGCTATATAGCCCATGACAAATGTGTGCACACGTCTAATCGCAAATTTACTTGCATAAAGTTTTTCAGACATGAGTTTAGATAAAAATAATTGAATGTTTAACAATTTTTGTTCTTATCATTTCCAATAATTGTTTTACTTAATTCCGAATTTTTGTACTTTCTAAATACACGATAAACAATGTATGTTTAGTTTTAGACAATAAAAAATAAGTTCCAGATCAAATTGTGTCGATCAGGCAAAGTGTCGAGCTTGACCCGGCATTTTTCAATTTAAAAATTTGTCTTCGGATCACTTTTCCTTTCCTGGGGGCAAAAGTAAGCGACGTACAGCAAAACTTCCTGAAGCAATTTTGTACCTGAAGGAACACTCTTTAAATGTGTACCATTAAATTTGCTTAAAAATTTTAATTAATTGTTGAAAATTGCCTTTGAAAAAATCGTGTCGAGTTTGCCCCGGTTTCCCTATACATATATATTTATATCAATTATATCTAAACGACTAAATAAATAACACATCAAAATGATGATTGCGGCTCACTCGCAGAGACGCAGTTGAGGATGCAAATAGAAACGATGCCCGCGAACAGCGCGCGAGATAACAAGCGCGGTTGGCTTGTTCGAGCGTGAACAGGCACGACATGTAATCTCGCGCGCACGAGCGTAAAGAGTTAAGAGAGAAGAAGGAGCAGAAAAGATCGAGAGCGTCGATAGTGTCGCGTCGGCTCCGCGCCGTTGTGGCCGCGGTGGCGGCAACGTCGTTTAGGTTTACGTCCCTAATTCACGTCCAGCCGTGATAATTAGTCTCGGACGAGATCTCGAGACGACTCTTGACAGTCTTGACACATCTAGTCCCTTCCAGTGCGAACCTCTGACGTGACTCACGAGCGAGATACACCAAGTGAGCGCGATGGGAAATCCCGTCGTATTTTACAAAAAAACTCTCTGTCGTCAATAAATTGAGCAAAATTCACTTTAATAAAAAAAAAGAAAAATAAGCGTTCGCTAGTACGCAGAAAGAATGAGCTTTTTTTGAAAGCGATCCGTGGCGCTTTTATGATTTCACCGGTCCCGTCGTCGGAACGACGATGATTCACAAAGAGAACGATCGGATCAACGACGTTGTTACTCATTCCGTTTCCAGAAATGCTCCCGCAATTTCGCCGGACCCAACGGGCGCCATCCATTGTGACATCATCCACCCCGCGGCCGGAAGAGCGGTGAGATCTAAATGAAAAATTACGACCGCAATTTGCGAACGCTCGTAGCGAGGATAATGGGCGCGATAAAAATAGCCGCAATGATGTGACCGCGAGAATGCAACGATCGCTAATTGTTTGTCCTTCCGAGGAGATTTTTCGCAATTGTCACGTAACGCTTTGATTGATAATTAATTGTATAAAATGTTTCGCATATGATATTTTAATATTCCAATCCATGATTTTTATTTCTGTATGAAATACCCAGTATTACTGTCAAAGACATTCACTATGTTTCTATTACAAAATAATACTACCTACCGAATTGCAATAGATTAGAAATTTAGA